ACACACAGCAACATGCTGTAGATGGTGGGACCCCCCCCCCCCCACTCACACACAGCAACATGCTGTAGATGGTGGGACCCCCCCCCCCACTCACACACAGCAACATGCTGTAGATGGTGGGACCCCCCCCCCCCACTCACACACAGCAACATGCTGTAGATGGTGGGACCCCCCCCCCCCCCACTCACACAGCAACATGCTGTAGATGGTGGGACCCCCCCCCCCCCACTCACACACAGCAACATGCTGTAGATGGTGGGACCCCCCCCCACTCACCACACAGCAACATGCTGTAGATGGTGGGACCCCCCCCCACTCACACACAGCAACATGCTGTAGATGGTGGGACCCCCCCCCCCCACTCACACACAGCAACATGCTGTAGATGGTGGGACCCCCCCCCCCCACTCACACACAGCAACATGCTGTAGATGGTGGGACCCCCCCCCCCCCACTCACACACAGCAACATGCTGTAGATGGTGGGACCCCCCCCCACTCACACACACAACATGCTGTAGATGGTGGGACCCCCCCCCCCCCACTCACACACAGCAACATGCTGTAGATGGTGGGACCCCCCCCCCCACTCACACACAGCAACATGCTGTAGATGGTGGGACCCCCCCCCCACCCACTCACACCACAACATGCTGTAGATGGTGGGACCCCCCCCCCCACTCACACACAGCAACATGCTGTAGATGGTGGGACCCCCCCCCACCCACTCACACACACAACATGCTGTAGATGGTGGACCCCCCCCCCCCACTCACACACAGCAACATGCTGTAGATGGTGGGACCCCCCCCACCCACTCACACACAGCAACATGCTGTAGATGGTGGGACCCCCCCCCCCCACTCACACACAGCAACATGCTGTAGATGGTGGGACCCCCCCCCCCCACTCCGACTCACACACAGCAACATGCTGTAGATGGTGGTGACCCCCCCCCCCCACTCACACACAGCACATGCTGTAGATGGTGGACCCCCCCCCCCCACTCACACACAGCAACATGCTGTAGATGGTGGGACCCCCCCCCCCACTCACACAGCAACATGCTGTAGATGGTAGGACCTCTGCCACCCCCCTGCCCACCCCCTGCCCCCCCCTGCCCCCCCCTTGCCCCCCCCCCCCGCCCACGGCAGGAGCGTATATTGGGAGTTTGCGTGTCTCTCTCTCTCATCATCATCATCACGGTGGCTATGAGATGTTAACTACCTCGCCTGGTATACAGGAGGTCGTGGGTTTGATCCCGACCTTGACGCCTGCTGCTGTATATTTGGAGTTTGCGTGTCTCTCTCCCCGTGGTTGCGTGGGTTTTTCTCCGGGTTCACCGGTTTTCCCTCCACATTTAGAATCAACGTGCGTTCAGAGTATTTGGCTGCTATAAGTTGCCACGTGATACGCTACTTTGTTGAACTATCATTTCTAGATTTTAAGCTTGCGTGACTGCAAGGATTCATATTCTTAGGTTTTTTTCGGTAAAGTCACGTAGGTAAAAAAATTATCACTTGATACAGCTATCGTGCTGGGACTGTTTCCACCTGAAGTCAGAAGCTTGTGTTGCCTACGAAACGTCGTGATTTTTAAATCCTTTATATTAAGTTCGCTTGCTTGCTTGCGTGCTTGCGTGCTTGCTTGCTTGCTTACGACCGTGCAAATCTTTCGGTCGTTTTTTAACCCACTTCCCGTGATCCAATCGAGCTGACATTTTGCACACAGACTCGTTGTGCGAGACAATTAATGGTCGTGAAAATTTTACATTGTTTAGGGAAAACAAATAAAATATTTAATTACCAATTGCTTAATACTGGCAGGCAATCATCTGACCCATAGGTGGCAGCCATCTCAGCCACGAGGACGAGAGGACTCTAGCCGCCACGCATATAAAGGATTTAGAGTGAAAAACTTGTTTTTACGGGTTATACTTATTATTTCATTTTTATTTGACTTTTATTAATTTTCATTTTTTACCTACGTGACTTTACCGAAAAAACCTAAGACTATGAACTATCATTTGTTTTGAAAAAGAGCTAGATAGCTCAGTGAGCCTTACCTGGTAAAATTAAATTAGCTAATTAATAGTGAGTTAGTTAGAGTGACCTATGTTATCAACATGAGAAAGGGAGGTGACACAGAAACACAAGCAACTTTACTGTCATAGTACAAAAATGACGCGAATAGGAATCAGACAAAAACCACCGCCTCTGATTTGAGCAACAGTTGGCTGTACGGTGCGAACGGAGTTCAACATACATGCATGTACACGCAGCACAAATACACCAAATAGCAGTCAGAGCAAAGGCAGCTAAATAAATCATGAGGGTAGCGACAACCGATTAGAATCACAGCACACCACATGAATATTTAATACAAATTCCTGTTAAACAAACTCAGCTCGGAGAAATTGGTAAAGAAAAAAAACATTCAAAGTAAAATCACGTTACACCACGTGGATCGAGAGAGGTTGTTTGAAGTCGTGTGCAAACACACGTGATGGACACGTGTCAAACACACGTCAAAGTGTTGTAATCGCGCAGAATCCACAGCTCCGCACCGCGATCTGGATGGGGAGAGTTCACCGAGGACATCGTTGAAGCGATGCAATTCCAGGTGGTTGGCTATATCGGCCAGACAATGGTTGAACCATGAACAAGGCTAGGCAACCAAAGAGTAAGAAAATACATTCTTTTGTAGAATTCATAATAAAAAAACCTCTAATCTTCCAAGAGCCGCAATGCACGTGGTGAATACGAGACGCTGGGTTCTTCATGAATAATGTCACGAAGCAGGCCCCTGAAAGAGTCGCATGCGGCCCTGGAGCCACAGGTTTTTGCCGATCCGTGAGCATGGCAGTGTGTCTTCTTGGTTCTTTCGGTAAAGTCACGTAGAAGGGAAGTAATACAATTATAAAATAAAACATAATAAAATAATTCTCACGACGTTTCGGCCACAACGCAAGCAGCCGTCCTCAGGTGAAGACCAGGTCTGTCGGGGAGACAGCGTCTGAATGAAACACCACCACGCTTGGAGCGTATATTTAAGCTGGGTTGGAAGGGGGGAAGGGCGCCTTGACAAAATAATTTGCATAAAATGAAAACACCACCACGCTTGGAGCGTATATTTAAGCTGGGTTGGAAGGGGGGAAGGGCGCCTTGACAAAATAATTTGCATATCAAGAGGAATTTAGCATATTTATTGGAAATGCAGGTATGTGATTAGTACTACTTGTGAAATGCGTAGGAGGTGTGCGGGGGGTTTCAAAGTCATATTATGCCCGTGCATTATGCATTGTGGTTTTTCTTGTCTCCCTTAAGTCATGGAACGAGCAAGCTGCCAACAACAGCCTCAGCTGGGCCAAAACCTGCGCTCTGGGTCACAGCGCGTCCGCCAACCGCAAGACACCGGGTGAGACCCCGTTGCTGCTCTTACACTCACTTTGGGGCGTCACGGTGGCTAGGAGATGTTAACTACCTCGCCTGGTACACAGGAGGTCGTGGGTTCGATCCCGACCCTGACGCCTGCTGCTGTATATTTGGAGTTTGCGTGTCTCTCTCTCATCATCATCACGGTGGCTGGGAGATGCTAACTACCTCGCCTTGTATACAGGAGGTCGTGGGTTCGATCCCGACCCTGACGCCTGCTGCTGTGTATTTGGAGTTTGCGTGTCTCTCTCTCTCATCATCACGGTGGCGAGGAGATGTTAACTACCTCGCCTGGTGTGCAGGAGGTCGTGGGTGCAGGAGGTCGTGGGATGGGCAGCGCCTCCGCATTAGCGCACAGCTCTGCTTTGTAGTTTGCGGTCCCTGTAGAATTCACAACGCAGCAGAGCTTTAGGATCATTGTTGGCCTCGCGCGCACGCACACACACAAGTGCGTACAAACAAAAATATCACGAAGCGTGCGGTGTATGTGTGTGTATGTGTGTGTGTATGTGTGTGTGTGTATGTGTGTGTAGCGGTTAGCGCGCTGCGCTATGAACCTGGCGACCCGAGTTCGATTCCCGCTCACGGCCAACACCAGTGACGATTATCTGAACCGGTCCTGGGCCTCCCCTAGGTCGACTCAGCCTCAAATGAGTTGCTGGTGCGGTGTGTAAACATCGCCACTGGGGAGACAAAGGCGGCCGGGCGTGGTTTTGGCCACCCACCCCCTCGTGTGCCGTGCCGGCTTTTATAGGTGCTCGCTAACAGCACTTACCCGAAAAGTCTGTTAAGGCTATACGGGGGATCTTTGTATTAGTAAATGTGTTCTTAGGTTTTTTCGGTAAAGTCACGAAGGCAAGCTATCGTGCTGTGACTGTTCCACCTGAAGACGGAAGCTTGTGTTGCCTCCGAAACGTCGTGATTTTTATTTTATTTTTACTTTTATTAATTTTAATTTTTTACCTACTTGACTTTACCGAAAAAACCTAAGAATATGAATCCTTGCAGTCACGAATGCTTTAAATCTAGAATTAGTATATGTGTACTTATACGTGTGATGCTTACAAAACCCACCAAAAGATTGAGGAAGTAGCCAACCCCTGTGAGCAGAGTGGGCTTTCAAGTCTGGTGCGCTAACCATTAACAACAACGGCAGATCAAGTTCCAGTTCAAGTGCATGTATTAGGTGTAGCCCTGTGAGCCATTCGGCTCTTGAATCGGGTGCAACCGCAACAAACAAACAAGTATAACCCGTAAAAACAAAGTTTTTCACTATAAATCCTTTATATGCGTGGCGGCTAGAGTCCTCTCGTCCTCTGGCTTGAGATGGCTGCCACCTATGGGTCAGATGATTGCATTGCACCATTAAGCAATTGGTAATTAAATATAATATTTTTGTCCTAAAAAGTGTAACATTTTGGGAATTTTTTTTCACGAACATTAATTGTCACGCACAACGAGTCTGTGTGGAAAATGTCAGCTCGATTGGATCACGGGAAGTGGGTTAAAAAACGACCGAAAGATTTGCACGGTCGTAAGCGCGCAAGCAAGCAAGCAAGTGAACTTAATATAAAGGATTTAAAAAAAACATGAACATGACGATGACGACGACAACGACGACGACAATCAATGCCACTTGATTAGACGAATTCTTTCTCGTTGCAGTGTTTGGCTGCGGCGAGAACCTCTACATCGGCAATGCCCCCTTCACCTGGAAGTACGTGATCGGTGAGTGGTACAACGAGGTGACTGCGCCGGGCTTCGTGTACGACAAGGCCGGCCAAGGTGCCGGTGTCGAGCACTACACGCAGGTGAGAGGCGCTTCGCTCGCGACGGCTCAACGCGGGTGGCGCGCGGTCGGTGACTCGTCGCTTTCATGCGTCAACGGCGCGCTTTGGCTGCGACGCACGTTTTTACGCTGGGGGGTGGAGGGACAGACCGTTGGCGCAACGCGGAAGGCGCACACCGATGGGACGAGGAATGAGTGCGCTGTTGTAGCGTGGGATGCGCGTGTGCCGTTATGACGAGGAACGCACACACTGTTCATCTTCTTGGTTCTTTCGGTGAAGTCAGGTATAATGGAAATAATAAAATAATAAAAACAAGTAAACCCGTAAAAACAAAGTTTTTCACTATAAATCCTTTATATGCGTGGCGGCTAGAGTCTTCTCGTCCTCTGGCTTGAGATGGCTGCCACCTATGGGTCAGATGATTGTCTGCCAGTATTAAGCAATTGGTAATTAAATATTGAATTTGTTTTCCCTAAACAGTGTAAAATTTTGGGAATTTTTTTTCAAGAACATTAATTGTCTCGCACAACGAGTCTGTGTGGAAAATGTCAGCTCGATTGGATCACGGGAAGTGGGTTAAAAAACGACCAAAAGATTTGCATGGTCGTAAGCAAGCAAGCAAGCACGCAAGCACGCAAGCGAACTTAATATAAATGATTTAATAACTATTTGGTTATTTCGGTAAAGTCACGTATAAAGATAAAATAATAAATTAAATAATAGCATACGACGTTTCGATTGCAACACAAGCAATCGTCGTCAGGTATAAATGAAATAGCAACAAAAATCTAACCAGAAAACTATAGACAGACATATAAGCAGACAGATATCACCAAGATACACAGAGAGAGAGTAACACATAGGCACAGAGAGGGAGATCGTCTCTGTGGCGAGGCCTTAAATAGACAGAGGGGGGCGTTTTGGCTACAACGCAAGCAGCCGTCTTCAGGTGAAGAACAGGTCTGTCGAGAAGACAGCGTCTGAATGAAACACCCCAGGCTTTCAGACTCTGTCTTCTCGACAGACCTGTTCTTCACCTGAGGACGGCTGCTTGCGTTGTGGCCGAAACGTCGTGAGAATAATTTAATAATGTTTAATTTTTTATTATTTTATTATTCCCATTCTACGTGACTTTACCGAAAGAACCAAGAAGATGAATCCCTGCAGTCACGAAAGCTTTAAATCGAAAGCACACACTGTTGTTACTCAGAACGCGGGCCTGTTATAACGCAGAACACGTGCCGTTATAACACAGAACCCACGCCTGTTATAACGCGGTATGTGTGCCATTATAACACGGAACCCACGTCTGTTATAACGCGGTATGTGTGCCATTATAACACGGAACCCACTTGTGTTATAACGCGGTACGTGTGCCATTATAACACGGAACCCACGTCTGTTATAACGCTGTACGTGTGCCGTTATAACATGGAACCCACGCCTGTTATAACGCGGTACGTGTGCCATTATAACACGGAACCCACGCCTGTTATAACGCGGTACGTGTGCCATTATAACACAGAACCCACGCCTGTTATAACGCGGTATGTGTGCCATTATAACACGGAACCCACGCCTGTTATAACGCGGTACGTGTGCCATTATAACACGGAACCCACGCCTGTTATAACGCGGTACGTGTGCCATTATAACACGGAACCCACGCCTGTTATAACGCGGTACGTGTGCCATTATAACACGGAACCCACGCCTGTTATAACGCGGTATGTGTGCCATTATAACACGGAACCCACGCCTGTTATAACGCGGTACGTGTGCCATTATAACACGGAACCCACGCCTGTTATAACGCGGTATGTGTGCCATTATAACACGGAACCCAGGCCTGTTATAACGCGGAATGCGTGCACCTTTAATGCGGAACATGTGCCATTATAACACGGAACCCACGCCTGTTATAACGCGGTATGTGTGCCATTATAACACGGAACCCACGCCTGTTATAACGCGGAATGTGTGACATTATAACACGGAACCCACGTCTGTTATAACGTGGTACGTGTGCCGTTATAACACGGAACCCACGCCTGTTATAACGCGGAACACGTGCCCCTGAACGCACACACGTGCGTTCAGGGGCACAGGTGATGCAACTGCCAGTCATCTCAGTTAATCAATCCATGGCACCTGGGTCTGTCCGGTGACCTCCTCCTGCGCCTAGACTGGCAAAGGAGTCAACCCACGGCACCTGGATCTGTCCCGTGACCTTCTCCTGCCGGCAGGGAGATCCTTCAACACTTCATGCGACGGCCTCAACGTGCACTTAGCCTGACGCAAGCGCTGTGGTGATGTCACAGCCACTTAGTGGCGAATGTCGGTTGTTGTTTGTTGTTGCTGTTGCAGCTGGTGTGGTACAGTTCCTTCCAGATCGGATGCTCCGTCAACTTCTGCGCGACTGCTAAGAAATACTTCTACGTTTGCCACTACTGCCCAGCGTAAGCAACGCCCCCACGGTCATCGTTACTCCACTCAGTAATTATTGTTTTTAATTGTATTAGTTTATAAATCAGTTGCTGGGCGCAAGTGTCCAAAGAACCAAAAGCGTCAAGTTGCCAGCAAACAAAACAGCACGACTGGACGTCTCTTCTTGGTTCTTTCGGTAAAGTCACGTAAAAGGGAAGTAATAAAATAATAAACATAAACATAATAAAATAAAATTCTCACGACGTTTCGGCCACAACGATAGCAGTCGTCCTCAGGTGAAGAACAGGGCTGTCGGAAAGACAGCGTCCGAATGAACACCACCAAGCTTGGCAGCGTATATTTAAGCTGGGTTGGAGGGGGAAGAGCGCCTTGACAAAGGAATTTACATATCAAGAGGATTTTAGCATATTTATGGAAAATGCAGATATGGGATTAGTCACTACTTGTGGAATGTGTAGGTAGTGCGGAGGTCTCAAAGTCATATTATTCCCGTGTATTACGTAGGATTAGCAGTAATAAAGAGAGGGAAATTTTAATAGTAAGGAGCTGCAGCAGACAAATCACCACGTAAAAAAATATAAACTTCATCCAATATCATCAATATACTCAATATACTCTCCAATAAGCTGAGCTACTAACAGTAAATTCATACGTTACACTTCTACGTCGCAAAAAATATAATATGCCTCCAGCTAAACTTTTTTCTTACATCAAGGAGCATCATAGCTCATCGGATTCCTCCAGTATAAATAAATATTGTGATTCTGAAAGTCGCGACAATTTTTATGGAATTCGGCAGAGTTTTGGGAAAATTAGACGATGGGAGGGAATTGCAAAAGGTGCAGCAGAGTTGAGAGGACCCTGGTTCTACTCCCTACTCTCTTGCGCATTATGGCAGCAGCAATGCTTGACACGTAGGCTTTCGCGACCAATGTTATTCATAATCAACGTTTTTGGGTTTAGATCGCGTTATTTATAAATGTGTCGTAACCCTCCACCACCCGACACGGCCAATCAGTAAAAACAAAAAAAGTGTCACGTTGACGAAAGACAAATAGTTCACTGCTTTAGCCCACCGGTGTGTTGAAGCGTGAAGCCACATCAATTTACAATTTGAGTACGACGTTTCGCTGGTAATTGCATCCATTCTGGCGAATTGCCCGATGATGCTGGATGCAATTACCAGCGAAACGTCGTACTCAAATTGTAAATGTTGTGGTTTCACGCTTCAACACACCGGTGGGCTAAAGCAGTGAACTATTTGTGTTTTGTCAACGTGACACTTTTTTTTTTTTACTGATTGGCCGTGTCGGGTGGTGGAGGGTTACGACACATTTATAAATAACGCGATCTAAACCCAAAAACGTTTATTATGAGCAGCAATGCTGTTGTTAGGCAGCTGTAGATGTCGATGCCGAGGTCTGTTGCTGATGCTGTTGCTGGCCATGCCGAGAAGGCTTCATTCTCTGGCCAGGAGGTCAAAGGTCGGCCAAGAGAGTTCCTCAATGTTGAGTTGGTATACTCGAAGACCTCGTCTGAGTGGTGTCTGACCCTTTAAGATGGTCCTTTTTCTCGGCATTTAGCACCAATGATCACGTCTGGATTCATATTAGCGGTGTCCATTTCGCCGAAATGGTGTTAGTTGATGACAGTATTAGATGATGATAGTATTAATGACAGTATTATAATTAACGGGAATAATTGATGGTATTATGGTGGTGTTATGATGACAGTATTAGAGTACATAGTTGATGACAATATTCCTTGGCGATGGTATTATGACGGTATGACAGTATTGATGGCAGCATTAGTTTATGACGGATTTAGTGGATAACTGTATACATTTATGACGGTATTATGGTTCTAGATTTGAAGTTTTCATGACTGCAAGGGTCCATACTCTGTTTTTTTTCGGTAAAGTCACGTAGGTAAAAAAGAAAATAAAAATAAATTCAATCACGAGGTTTTTTACCTACGTGACTTTACCGAAAACATCCAAAGAGTATTATGGTTAATACCGTCATCATAAAAACTTCAACTTTAAACGTAATCCTTTCCCTGCACGTCATAAGTTTTCTTCTGATTCAGTTTCGATGACGTATATGTGTACGACATCGAAACGGACTCAAAAGAATAACAAGAGTTAAATAAAACGTCATCAGTACCGAGGCTCCCACAAGGCCATGCGTGAAGGCATGTGGCACAGTTTGGCGCCGGCTATCATAGAGTACGGTGGTCGTGTCGCTACAGTTCCCTGCAGTGAGTGCGATGTCTTTATAAAAACAACGGCGCTACGCTTTTCTCGAAAGAAGTGTTACGCAAAAACCGCTTGAGCGTTCTAAGATTCAGCGGTGAACGGGACACCCACCCAGCAATTCGCAGATGTCTCAGAATGTGCAAGGGTTCATATAAGACCCCTCCCCACATATTCTTAGTTTTTTCGGTAAAGTCACGTAGGTAAAAAAAAAAAACGACGTTTCGGAGGCAACACAAGTCCCCGTCATCAGGTGGGACCGTTACAGCCAGATTTGCTGTATCAAGTGAGCAAGCAACCCGTGTAAAGACCCCCAGCCGAACCGTGCGCATGGCTGCCGTGTTTGTTTGGTGTTGACGTTTGCCGAGAGCGAGACGTCGTCGCCTGCCCTTGCTGTCGTCCCTCCCAGCGGCAACCTGAACACGCGTCTCTCCCGGCCGTACGACAAGGGGAACGCGTGCGTCTCCTGCCCCAAGAGCTGCGTCAACAAGCTGTGCGGTGAGTGCGCTCAAGGGACGCGAGCGTGTCCACGTGGCAGAGTGGCACGGAGACACACAGAGAGAGACACACAAGCAGAGAGAGACTCACACAGAGACACAGAAAGAGACACAGACAGACACACAGAGAGAGACACACAGAGGCACACAGAGAGAGAGACTCACACAGAGACACACAGAGAGAGACACACAGAGAGAGACACACAGACAGACACACAAGCAGAGAGAGACACACACAGAGACACACAGAGAGAGACACAACATAGACACACAGACAGACACACAAGTAGAGAGAGAGACTCACACAGAGACACACACAGAGAGAGACACACAACACAGAGACACAGACAGACACACAAGCAGAGAGAGAACACACAGAGACACACAACATAGACTCAGGGATCCATACGTTTTGGTTCTTTCGGTAAAGTCACGTAGGTATAAAAATATTATAAATAAAAAAATATAAAAAAATAAAAAATATTTTATTTTATATCGACGTGACTTTACCGAAAGAATCAAAGAGTTTGTACATAATGGGTTTAAAAAAACAAGGCATTTCGACATGACAAAAAATATCGAGGCACTCCTCAATGGGACATCTTCAGCTTGACATAGCTTCCGGCCCCAGAATTGTCATAATCTGGCCCTGAAATACATTACATTATAATATTTATTGGGGGACACACACCCCCCTCCAATATATATGATAATTACGGCCAATATTCAAATATGCTCAAAATGCCCCCGCCCCCCCCCCCCCCAATATATTGCTTTCAAAACTATTAAAAAATAATAATTTCGATGCTATGTAAATAAAAACAACAATTTGCTAAACCTTGGCCACAATATCTGGACTTGTCTTCATGTAACAATGCATCGATTTCTGTTGATGTGATTGTGGTTATGGTTGTACTTTATGAATCCCTAATCTCTGCCATTACATACAATGCAACAATAAATGGTAAAAAAGTAAAAACAGAGCAATGTAATACAATACACTATTAGACATTATTGTAAAAAAAAAAAGTCCATCCCATGTGTTAGTGAATTTTTTTATATTTTAGGCAGGAAATTCGTTTTCAAATTTAGAACCCCTTGAAGATTTGGTTCTCATCAACGTTGACTCCATGGCTACGGCTGACACAGAGAGATTAAATACACACGCGTTGAAGACACGGGGGGGGGGGGGTGTCCAACTTTATTGGAGGCGTACACAATTATGTTGAGCGTGTGTCTCTCGAATCTCGACCTCGTTGCTCGTCTTTCTCCACGTGTATGTCCCTTTCTTCATGGCAATCTTTGTTTGTGCCCGTGCACGCGCCCTACCCCCGTGTCTGCGTGTCTCCGTGCCACGAATGAATGGAATTAGCTTGCGCGGGACCCTCCTGAGAAATAGCCACGGGATTACCGCTGGTACGGCTATTTTAATACTCACAATGGACGGGAAGGGCACGATCAATGGGTGACGCACAACGCGTTGAATCAAGAGCTCAGAAGCGTGGTCACCACATCCACGCCTCTACGTAAGGACCGAGACAGGTGGAGTTCTCCACAAATCTGGCTGTCGCCTGATGAAGCTGGTTGTAATTACTGGCGAAACGTCGTAGCTCAGATTGTAAATGTTGTGGCTTGGCTCTCCAACACAACCGGTGTGGCTGTACTAGAATACTACACTATACACTACACACTACTATACACTACTATACACTACTATACACTACACTATACACTACTATACACTACACTATACACTACTATACACTACACTATACACTACACTATACACTACACTATACACTAGTGCTGTACTAGTATATCACACTATAGACTACACTATACACTACATTATACACTACTATGCACTACTATACACTACTATACACTACACTATACACTACACTATACACTACACTATACACTAGTGCTGTACTAGTGACGAATTGGCCACGTTCTGTTCACGTGACAACCCTTACTAGTTGGTTGTGTCGGGTGGTGGCGGGTTTAAAGACACATTTATATATTTACGCGATCTAACCCAAACAAACCTCTATTATGGATGATATTGGTCGCGAAAGCCTCCTGCGTGTTAAATATTAACAATGATTGAGCACGGTTTGTGATGATGATGATGGTGATGATGGTGATGATGGTGGTGATGATGGTGGTGGTGATGATGATGGTAGTGATGATGGTGGTGATGATGGTGGTGGTGATGATGATGGTGATGATGGTGGTGGTGATGATGATGATGGTGGTGGTGGTGGTGATGATGATGATGGTGGTGATGATGATGGTGGTGATGATGGCGGTGATGATGATGGTGATGATGGTGGTGATGATGGTGGTGATGATGATGGTGGTGATGATGATGGTAGTGATGATGGTGGTGATGATGGTGGTGGTGATGATGATGGTGATGATGATGGCGGTGATGATGATGGTGATGATGGTGGTGATGATGGTGGTGGTGATGATGATGGTGATGATGGTGGTGGTGATGATGATGATAGTGGTGGTGGTGGTGATGATGATGATGGTGGTGATGATGATGGTGGTGATGATGGCGGTGATGATGATGGTGATGATGGTGGTGATGATGGTGGTGGTGATGATGATGATGGTGGTGATGGTGGTGGTGATGATGATGGTGGTGATGATGATGATGGTGGTGGTGATGATGGTGATGATGATGGTGGTGATGATGATGATGATGGTGGTGATGATGGTGATGATGGTGGTGGTGATGGTGATGATGATGCTGGTGGTGATGATGATGATGGTGGTGATGATGATGGTGGTGGTGGTTATGATGATGATGGTGGTGGTTATGATGATGATGGTGGTGGTGATGATGATGATGATGGTGGTGATGATGGTGGTGGTGATGATGATGGTGATGATGGTGGTGATGATGATGATGATGGTGGTGATGATGATGATGGTGGTGATGATGATGATGATGATGGTGATGATGGTGGTGATGATGATGATGATGGTGGTGATGATGATGATGGTGGTGATGATGATGATGGTGGTGATGATGATGGTGATGATGATGATGGTGGTGGTGGTGGTGATGATGATGATGGTGATGATGGTGATGATGATGATGGTGATGATGATGATGGTGCCAACTATTTACCCAGGAAAACCTCACCCTGCCAAGACTTTACACGGCAGCAGTGTCTCGCCGCATTGCCAGATGTGGCCAATTCCAGTCGTGGGCCGTGACTGGAATTGGTGGTGATGGTGGTTGAACACCGTTTGGATGAGCCAGTCAGAGTGAAGTTCACGGGGATAGCAACCACGGCAGTAGCAATGAAAGAGCGATAAGAAGGCGACTGATTGCCCTGATGAGCGAGTGGGGTGAGCAGGGGGTAATTTAACACGTAGGCTTTCGCGACCAATATTATTCATAATCAACGTTTTTGGGTTTAGATCGCGTTATTTATAAATGTGTCGTAACCCTCCACCACCCGACACGGCCAATCAATTCCATTCTGGCGAATTGCCCGATGATGCTGGATGCAATTACCAGCGAAACGTCGTACTCAAATTGTAAATGTTGTGGTTTCACGCTTCAACACACCGGTGGGCTAAAGCAGTGAACTATTTGTCTTTTGTCAACGTGACACTTTTTTACTGATTGGGGTGGTGGAGGGTTACGACACATTTATAAATAACGCGATCTAAACCCAAAAACGTTGATTATGAACAGGGGGTAATTGTTCGCGTGCAGTAGTCCTGGATAAATCAATGAAACCCGCCTGTTTGTTCTCTCTCTATGTATCTCTGTGATATCTGTCTGCTTTTATGTCTGTCTATATGTCTCTGGTTCTGTGTTTTATCTCTCTCTCTCAAATTTAGCATTCTCAGGAAGAACGTAATCAACCAGATAGGGTGTTGACTGTTATGTTATCCGACTCTCTGTTGTATTACATTACATTTCTAAGTACACTAGATTTGTGTTTCTATTTCATTTATACCTGATGATGATTGCTTGTGTTGCAATCGATACATCGTATGCTAGTATTTAATTTATTATTTCATCTTTATATGCGACTTTACCGAAAGAACCAAAGCGTAATTCCTGCAGTCACGAAAGCTCCAAATCAAGTTTGAAACCCACCTGCTTTAGGTTGCTTTCCATCAAGTGCACCTCCGATTTAGCCCGATTGGCCACGTACGGCGCGAAAGAAGTTCAACGCAATGTACGCGTAATAAAAGTCGTTGAGGCGACTTCTGGAATCCGGCCTTTTATTCAATTTCATTACAGCTTTCCTTCACGCTGCTGACCGACAGTGTGAGAGGGATAGAGAGAGACACGTAGCCACGTGGCAACTTGGAGCCCCGCTCCCGCGTCGCCTCCTCCTCCGTTCGTTCCAGTTCTGACCACGTGTTGTTCGTCTCCACCCCTATTTAATACCCGGGTCACGTGGTATGTTTCCACCAATCCTGGTTAGCCTCTATGGAATCTTACAGACTCCCTCGCAGGCTCCCGGGACCACGCCCCTGACTCGTCTCCCCATTGGCTGTGGCCAAAGCCAGCAGAACCAATCCCCTACTTACAGCTGTCACCTTTCCATTACGTCAGGGTCACGCCCCTAGGCTTCCCCCCATTGGCTATGGACCTGGACCGGCAGAGCCAATCATCGTGACGAGTTGTGATACGTCAGTGAGCCGGATATATCCTCACATTACGTACGCATGAAACATTGTCGTTCGCCACCGGTAACCCGCCGCCGTCACCGCTGCCGCGCTTTGCCTTGCCCCACAGTCAACCCCTGCATGTTCACCGACTACTACTCAACCTGCGTCCAGATGAAGGCGACCTATGGCTGCAGCAACAGCACGAGCGGCAAGGTGATCCAGAAGAACTGCCCCGCCTCGTGCTACTGCGATGGGAAGATCCACTGAAGCAACGAGGGCGACCTCGCGGGCGGCGGTGGCGGCGGCGGTGGCGTTAAAATCGTCGCGATCGACGATCGACGCCACGCCAAGCCGTTCACGGCAGCGCGCGAGTTTTTTTGGGGGGTGTTGGTGGTCGCGTGGGTTTTTTTTTGACGAATGTTATCAGAATAATTGGTGAATTGATAATCTCAGCACGCTTCGGTGGGGGTCAGGGGTTAAGAAGGGCTGCCACCTTGTGTACTGCAGGACAAAAGGGCAGATGTTTCTCAGTTAGCACCAGGACCTGTTATTAGAACTGTCAGACAGTTCAACATCAGAGTTTGCCAGATCTCGGTACAGACAATAGTAATAATAATGATAAAACATTTGTAATGTAGTCATATTCTTTGGGTCTTTCGGTAAAGTCACGTAGACAGATTTATAATGTACCCGTTGGCACGATAATTTACATTCCAAAGTGTGTGGCTGGATAGTGGAGTGTGTGGATAGTGGAGAGTGTGGCTGGGTAGTGGAGTGTGTGGATAGTGGAGAGTGTGGGTAGTGGAGTGAGTGGTTGGATAGTGGAGTGTGTGGATCGTGGAGAGTGTGGGTAGTGGAGTGAGTGGCTGGGTAGTGGGGGGTGTGGATGGATAGTGGAGTGTGTGGGTAGTGGAGTGTGTGGCTGGGTAGTGGAGTGTGTGGATGGGTAGTGGAGCGTGTGGCTGGGTAGTGGAGTGTGTGGATGGGTAGTGGAGTGTGTGGGTAGTGGAGTATGTGGCTGGGTAGTGGAGTGTGTGGGTAGTGGAGCGTGTGGCTGGGTAGTGGAGTGTGTGGCTGGGTAGTGGAGTGAGTGGCTGGGTAGTGGAGTGTGTGGCTGGGTAGTGGAGTGAGTGGCTGGGTAGTGGAGTGTGTGGATGGGTAGTGGAGCGTGTGGCTGGGTAGTGGAGTGTGTGGATGGGTAGTGGAGTGTGTGGGTAGTGGAGTATGTGGCTGGGTAGTGGAGTGTGTGGGTAGTGGAGCGTGTGGCTGGGTAGTGGAGTGTGTGGCTGGGTAGTGGAGTGAGTGGCTGGGTAGTGGAGTGTGTGGCTGGGTAGTGGAGTGAGTGGCTGGGTAATGGAGTGTGTGGGTAGTGGAGTGAGTGGGTAGTGGAGTGTGTGGCTGGGTAGTGGAGTGTGTGGCTGGGTAGTGGAGCATGTGGCTGGGTAGTGGAGTGTGTGGCTGGGTAGTGAAGTGTGTGGTTGGGTAGTGGTGTATGTGGGTAGTGAAGTGGGTGGGTAGTGGAGTGAGTGGCTGGGTAGTGGAGTGTGTGGCTGGGTAGTGGAGTGAGTGCTGGGTAGGTAGTGGAGTGTGTGGGTAGTGGAGTGAGTGGGTAGTGGAGTGTGTGGCTGGGTAGTGGAGTGTGTGGCTGGGTAGTGGAGCATGTGGCTGGGTAGTGGAGTGTGTGGCTGGGTAGTGGAGTGTGTGGGTAGTGGAGTGAGTGGCTGGGTAGTGGAGTGTGTGGCTGGGTAGTGGAGTGAGTGGCTGGGTAGTGGAGTGTGTGGCTGGGTAGTGGAGTGAGTGGCTGGGTAGTGGAGTGTGTGGATGGGTAGTGGAGCGTGTGGCTGGGTAGTGGAGTGTGTGGATGGGTAGTGGAGTGTGTGGGTAGTGGAGTATGTGGCTGGGTAGTGGAGTGTGTGGGTAGTGGAGCGTGTGGCTGGGTAGTGGAGTGTGTGGCTGGGTAGTGGAGTGAGTGGCTGGGTAGTGGAGTGTGTGGCTGGGGTAGTGGAGTGAGTGGCTGGGTAATGGAGTGTTGTGGGTAGTGGAGTGAGTGGGTAGTGGAGTGTGTGGCTGGGTAGTGGAGTGTGTGGCTGGGTAGTGGAGCATGTGGCTGGGTAGTGGAGTGTGTGGCTGGGTAGTGAAGTGTGTGGTTGGGTAGTGGTGTATGTGGGTAGTGAAGTGTGTGGGTAGTGGAGTGAGTGGCTGGGTAGTGGAGTGTGTGGCTGGGTAGTGGAGTGAGTGGCTGGGTAGTGGAGTGTGTGGGTAGTGGAGTGAGTGGGTAGTGGAGTGTGTGGCTGGGTAGTGGAGTGTGTGGCTGGGTAGTGGAGCATGTGGCTGGGTAGTGGAGTGTGTGGCTGGGTAGTGAAGTGTGTGGCTGGGTAGTGGTGTATGTGGGTAGTGAAGTGTGTGGGTAGTGGAGTGAGTGGCTGGGTAGTGGAGTGTGTGGCTGGGTAGTGGAGTGAGTGGCTGGGTAGTGGAGTGTGTGGGTAGTGGAGTGAGTGGGTAGTGGAGTGTGTGGCTGGGTAGTGGAGTGTGTGGCTGGGTAGTGGAGCATGTGGCTGGGTAGTGGAGTGTGTGGGTAGTGGAGTGAGTGGGTAGTGGAGTGTGTGGCTGGGTAGTGGAGTGTGTGGCTGGGTAGTGGAGCATGTGGCTGGGTAGTGGAGTGTGTGGGCTGGGTAGTGGAGTGTGTGGGTAGTGGAGTGAGTGGCTGGGTAGTGGAGTGTGTGGGTAGTGGAGTGTGTGGCTGGGTAGTGGAGTGAGTGGCTGGGTAGTGGAGTGTGTGGCTGGGTAGTGGAGTGTGTGGGTAGTGGAGTGAGTGGCTGGGTAGTGGAGTGAGTGGCTGGGTAGTGGAGTGTGTGGGTAGTGGAGCATGTGGCTGGGTAGTGGAGTGTGTGGCTGGGTAGTGGAGTGTGTGGGTAGTGGAGTGAGTGGCTGGGTAGTGGAGTGTGTGGGTAGTGGAGTGTGTGGCTGGGTAGTGGAGTGAGTGGCTGGGTAGTGGAGTGAGTGGCTGGGTAGTGGAGTGTGTGGCTGGGTAGTGGAGTGTGTGGGTAGTGGAGTGAGTGGCTGGGTAGTGGAGTGAGTGGCTGGGTAGTGGAGTGAGTGGCTGGAGAGTGATGATCATCAATTCCTGCCTCCCGAACTGCAGATGACAAACCAAACCGGTCCGGTGGCAACCCATTCGCAGAAGGAGCAGTAGTGTTTCCTCTTAGGTGTTTGTTACGACCACTTTATATTGACGCTTCATATCCTATCTCTTACATTGTGTACGACTCTTTATTCATCAGCATAAAAAAAAATGAAAGGAAGTCGCGACAAAGATGTTTAGATGTACACACCGACGTGCGTGTGACGTGGAGCGGTGGTGCGACGGTTAGCGCACTCGGCCCTCATTGAATTGCCTGGCGCGGCAGCGTGTAAACATCGCCACTGGGGAGACAAAGGCGGCCAGGGCGGGGTGTCTTGCCACCCCACCCCTTCGCGTCGTGCCCGGCCTTCATAGGTTCTAACAGCGCTTGCTACAACAATTCTGTTAAAGAGAGGGACGATCCCGAATGTGTGTGGAGGACACAGCAGTGTACATCGTTGTGTAATAAAGGTCTTTGAAGCGACTTCTGGAATCCGGTGTTTATTTGTCTTTCTTTACAACACTTCCTTCACGCTGCTGACAGACAGTGTGAGAGGGATAGAGAGAGACGCGTGCAGCCACGTGGCAGCCTGGACCACGTGGCAGCCTGGACCACGTGGCAGCCTGGACCCCCACTCTCGCGTGGCCTCTCCCCTTCGTTCGTTCCAGTTCTGACCACGTGTTGTTCGTCTCTACCCCTATTTAATACCCGGGTCACGTGGTACGCTTCCACCAATCCTGGTTAGCCTCTATGGAATTCTTCCAGACTCCACCGTAGGCTCCCGGGACCACGCCCCTGACTCGTCTCCCCATTGGCTGTGGCTAAAGCCAGCAGAACCAATCCTCTACAAACAGCTGTCACCTTTCCATTACGTCGGGGCCACGCCCCTAGGCTTCCCCCATTGGCTATGGACCAGGACCGGCACAGCCAATCATCGTGACGAGTTGTAATCCGTCAACGACCCAGATATAACCTCACATTACAGTTGCAAGGAAATAAAACAACACGCTGTTAGTGAATTGTTGATTGTGTTTGCTGATTCATCATTGTCACTGTCAGCCATGGCCTATCCACTGCTGCATGAAGGCCTCGTCAAGTCGCCACCACCTCGCAGATGACCTTGCGACGTCCACTCATGGCCGCCAACACGTGACGATGGTGGGCCCCCTCTAGGTCGACTCAGCCTGAACCGAGTCTCTGATGGGGTGCGTGAACTTTGCCCAGGGATGTTCGTCTGCGTTAGCGGACTCCGCTGGTGGATGAAGCCTCCTCCACTGTCAGTGAAGGTCACTCCACTGCTCTGGGTGAATCTGTGTTAGTTTATGGGTCTCTGTGTGAGTCTCTGAGTCTGTGTGTGAGTATCTGGGCCTCTATGTGAGTACAGTATTTGAATCTGTGTTAGTTTATGGGTCTCTGTGTGAGTCTCTGAGTCTGTGTGTGAGTATCTGGGCCTCTATGTGAGTACAGTATTTGAATCTGTGTGAGTTTATGAGTCTGTGTGTGAGTCTCTGGGTGTCTATGTGAGTACATTATTTGAATCTGTGTGAGTTTTTTGGTCTCTGTGTGAGTCTCTGAGTCTGTGTGTGAGTCTCTGGGTGTCTATGTGAGTACAGTATTGGAATCTGTGTGAGGTTATGGGTCTCTGTGTGAGTACAGTATTTGAATCTGTGTTAGTCTGTGGGTCAGTGTGTGAGTCTGTGGGTCTCTGTGTGAGTGTGAGTCACTGTGTGTCTGTGGGTCTCTGTGTGAGTCTGCGTCTCTGTGTGAGTCTGTGGGTCTCTGTGTGAGTCTGTGGGTCTCTGTGTGAGTCTGTGTCTCTGTGTGAGTGTGAGACTCTGTGTGAGTCTGTGGGTCTCTGTGTGAGTCTCTAGGTCACTGTGTGAGTCTGTGGGTCTCTGTGTGAGTCTAGGTCTCTGTGTGAGTGTGAGTCACTGTGTGAGTCTGCGTCTCTGTGTGAGTCTGCGTCTCTGTGTGAGTCTCTAGGTCTCTGTGTGAGTGTGAGTCTGCGTCTCTGTGTGAGTCTGCGTCTCTGTGTGAGTCTCTAGGTCTCTGTGTGTGAGTCACTGTGTGAGTTAGTGTGGGTCGCCCTCTTGTGGACAAATTCTGTGTCACAAGTAACAAAATAAGGAAGCAATTCATCTCCTT